GCGTTTCCCTGTGGTTGGGAGGACCGATGCTCAATAAGGAAACCATGTACTGTATGAGCAAACTCTGCGGTTAGCAAGAGAAGTCTGCACTCTGTTATGCTTTTTGGTCCATCAACTGGGCATTTTTCTGGCAAGGCTCAGAATATGGGGAAAAAAAGCATCACGTGTATTATTTAAGGATGGCAAATTACTATGATCAACCTGCCTGTCTCCAGCCAGGGGCACTAGATTTTGTTGGGATGAGCCAGGAGTTTTGTTTGCTGCTCTCTGCAGTTGATTCTCTAATTCCTTCCTCGTATTTCACTACCAATCCTTGCTGACACAGAAATGCATTCTGCTGCAATTTTGTTAATTTTGCCAAGTTTAGAATGCAGTTGTCTGCAGCATTTGTGTTAAAATGACAAAAGGAGATAGTGCTGATTAATATTTTTGTGTCGGATGGGAAGTTGTGGTCTAATAGATGGAAAGATTCTTGACTGCCTGCATGCATCAGGTACGGTAATATCACCTGTTTATGTTACATATTATGTCAATACACCACCTTTTGAATGAATTGCATTTCTTAATTCCTATTAAAATATTCTGGATTTTATTCAGTAGTAAGCAAGGGATTGGTGCCAATTCTAGGAGAGTCCAGGCCAAACCAGAGGGCTGGCAACCTTTGTCATAATTCTTCTTGATCTCTCCGACACTATTCTCCTGCCAGTGCTCTCTGACTTGGGGATTTCCAGCACTGATCAAATTTTGTTCTCTTATCTTTCTGGCTGCACATCAGGTCTCCTGGTGAAGCTCTCTGCCCCTTCCTCTCTCTCGCTACAAGGTTGTCTGTGTCACCTACTCCTTTCCCTCTACCCCCACTCTATGGGTCTTCTTATCTCTTCCTGTGATTTGGTTTCTGCTATCATTTTTCTGCTGAGGATGCTCAAACGTTAAGTCTTTTCCCATATCTCTGCCCATTTTACCTCCTGAATGGCTCCCTATCAAATTAACCTCAATCTAAGTCCAATCTCATTTTCCTTTCCTCCTCTTTTCCTTTTGTGGATCCCTTTTAGTTCCCTTTGACCATCCAGTCTCCCTTCTTTCTCGGCGCAGCATGGCTCTTGACCCTTCCCTCTTCTATTGCCAGAACATTTATTCTCCACAATGCTGCTGCCAGTTCTTTATGAGCAACGTTTCCAGAATCTGCCCCCTTCCTTACCAGGATACTTAGTCTGTACGTAAGCCCCTGCACGTAACGTTCTCCTAAAATGAAAAAATGTGATTCCTTTCCCCTCTTAAGAGAGAAAAATTCACAAGAGGGCCCCCTCCCACTGGAAGTAAAGGATATGTGAGAGGGCCCAGAGTGCTAACGTCTACCTGTATCCATGTTATTGCAGCACTGGTAGCACTGTAGCACTCAGACTCTTCCCCATCTTCAAGATAGTCTTCTAGACACATCTGTTTAGACTGAGTCTGTGATCTCTCAGCTCTCAGCTACCCATTTCCGTAACTCCTTCTCCGTACTGCACTGAATATTTTCAATTCTCAATTTGTCAGCAGGACTCGTTTTCTGCATTTATCATTGCGTGTACTAACTAGGTGTCCACATTATGTCGACAACGCCTGTATATAAGGAATGCCGTAGTAGTTCAGGTGGGTAGCTTCGTCAGCATGTGTAGGCTGCAAAGGAACCAGTGATAGGTCAATTCACACCTGAAGAAGGCTCCACGGCCGAAACGTTGTGTTTTCTTTCTTCTCTTTCCAGCATGGAATAAACCTATTATTCGTTCCTGTAAGGAATGCTATTGTTTCTTATGAGTTCATTTTCTTTTTGTTTTGTATTTGTGTGGCACTTTGTTCTCTATGCGGAATCGCATTCAAAACTGAAAGCAGGAAGCATGTGTCTTTCTCCTGTTTCACAAGCTTGGGGGAGTGGTGAACAAGCTGGCCAGCCATGTTGTTCAAGCCGATACCCCGGCTTCTTTCAGGAAACAGCTGGAGGCCGTTCAGACGTTGTAAGGTCTGAACGGCATCGTCGCGTTTATAATCTTTCTTATGTTCTTGGCCAGCATTAATTGGATGAAATGTTAAAGTAATGACTATTCAGGACCTCTAAGAGGCCATGGCACTGTTTATAAGAGTAGGGGGGAGTTAACCCTGGTGTCTGGATTAAATTCTACCCTGGGGTTGTACGATCTTGCCCACCTGCTGAGCAGTGCGACTCTTGGTATATAATGGCAACCGTCTTCATCTTGGTGGGTGCTGTGATCTGGTGGTGGATTCATTTGTTCCTCCCCTTTACGTAAAACTGCTTTGCTTTCCCTTGAGATGACCAGCACTATCCAAACAAAGGGAACTATTATTATGGAGAATTATTTCTGTAATAATGTCCTTTAAACACTAAAGCTGGTGTAAAAACATTGTAAGCACCATAACCTGCACTGGTAAGGGTGCCCACTCACTGAGCAGCAGGAATGACAGTGTATCAGAGCAGCATTCTTCCTCTGTCCTGTGCAGTCCACGCAGAGGGCTGCCAGCACGAAAACGAGCAGACATGCTGACCGGGCACATTTCGGAGGGCGTGTACAGACTGCTTTTGTTTATTCTGAGCTGGTCCTACTGATGAGCGGAATTGATTAACAGCCGGCAAACCTAAATTAAAGGGATGGAAAAAGTAAACAATTGCAAGAGGCCTGGTGTTTCAATAATATAGTCTACTGATAATCCCCCAACACCTCAATAGGAATTTGAATTTTCCTGTTCATTTACCAAGTGCGTGTACCAGGAGAGGCCTGCATGGGTAATAAAATTCCACTAACCACAGTGTTTTGGAAAAAGAAAAAAAATATATTTAATATCATACTCTTCTCACTCTTCAGCTATGGAAATATCTGATTTTTCCAGCCGAATTCAAAGCAGGATCACAGACTGCTGCATTACGTGCTGTTTCATCACCACAACACAGATGGCTTCATGTTTGAGGGCCTTATAAAAACAAGGGTGAGAGAGGGGAAACGCAGAAAAAACAAAACAAAATTCAAAGCCTGGCACATATCAGCATCACTCTGCACCCCGACAATGTTATCTTTTTTTGGTTGGTATTTGACACAAGACAGTCCTCCCCAAAACTAACACACCAAATGGGCAAACTGAACCCCACCATCTTCGTAGTGGCCTGCCTGCACGATGACCTCACTTCACTCTTCTTACTTGCACTTTTACTGTGATTACTGCCCAGTTTAAAACGACTCGACATAAGCAAATCAGAATGTTCAATGAATGACCAATTACCCTTGTTTTTTTTTACTTGGGCTACCAGGTTGGTAAAAATGGCAAGGGCATCCACAATACCAATTTGACCCGGGCCAAAGTTATCCTTCCGCACGACCGGAACTGAAACTTCTCAACCTAGAGCAGATGTGAAGGTCATGCCCAGACTGGCAGTGGCTCGTAGCCCATGGAGCGAGTGGGCTCTGACTCCAATATGCACGGGCCGCCTTTCGGTTTGAGCTTCCCTGTCCCAATCTGGCATCCAATCTCCTAATTAAATGAATGCAGTTTCCCTATTGAAAAGCCTGAAACGCCACAAGAAAGTTGCTCCGTCATCGAGTGACTGGACATCCGCTGCGCTCAGCCCTGACTTCAGACACACTACCAGAGAACCCGATTGCCACAAAAACCACTGCAATTTGAAACCCGAGATGTGTAGACCAAGAACCAGCCTGAAACCCATCCTGCCGACACCTTTCCCGTAGCGGTCTTACCTGCCTGTATCCAGCCCTCTCTCCTGATCTAGTTTGCATTTTCCCTGGCAAGCTCCGTCGGCCACTGGAAAACACCGAGCTCCTGCAGTTGGGTTCTCTGCCTGCCGGTGAGACCCGACTGTCGGCAACACCAAGCTGTGTCACAACGGTGAACGGACCAGGGTGACGCCTAGCCCTGGCTGAAAATGGACACGACCGCTGCCACACAACAAACACCACAGTTGCTGCTCTCTCTTTTGTAGCCAGTGTCACCGTCCCCCTAAACATCAGCGAAGGGGCATGCTGGAACCTTGAAAGTCCCTCTTTTCTTGACATCCAGAAAACAAAAATACGAGCAAGATGGTGGAAGGATCGCATGCCATGCTGGACAGAGTTTTATGATTGATTATTGCTACGCTGGTACGGTATCAATATCATTTGTTGCTTCTGCACTTGTGTTTGAGCAAGGATGAGAACGGCGAATCTTACCTCGTGACCTCAGGGTGGGTCAATCTGGTGGCAATTCAACCAGATCCAGGGCAGTTCAACATGGGAATGGAAAGCTGTGGACAGGGAAGTGGGAAACAGCCTACACCTTCCCAGTAGGCAGCCAGATAGCACTTCCCACAATCTAGTATTCCCATATTGTTTCATTGGAACCAGGAAAGTCCCAACCTTGTGGTTTGGACGGCACACTTGTGCTGCCCCTCTCCCCGTGACTCAGGTGATCTTGGCGCTCATAGATACTAAAACTCAATCTGAGCCCAATCTGTCATTTATGAGATATTCTGAGATTTTCCGGAGCGATACCTGAAACAGCATTTTCCATCAACCAGGTGTGAGTGGGCTGACTTTTCCATAGAAGAAGGGTGCTGAAATCCTCCTGCATAATTCTGGATCCTGGCAGACTTTAGGCCACAAGTGGTAGCCCAACTAACAGGTGACCTATTGACCTTTATAGTGGTGTTTCCATGTTTTTTGTCCACACCCCATACATATGCATGTGGTGGAAAAGGAGTAAAGAAAACACAATTTTTAGTGTCATAAAATCAAACCAATAAGTGTCTGTGAATTTTCAGTTGAGCATCTTTACTTTTCTTGTTTTCAACATGCCAATGAACAATGAAAGAAACTGGTCATACCTACTGATACCCAGGATCGGTGCTCCTCTGTGTATACTGCTGTGTTTGTCCTGAACCAAGCAGTTTACAGAAGATATATCATTCCCCCTGTCACCCACCCTCCTCCCATGTAACAAATAAAAACACAACACAAGAGTTTTTAACATGAACTGATGTGGTTTTACTGCATTTGGCCATTCAGGAAGAGACAGTGTTTACACAGCATACCCAGAAACAGCAGATATCCTTCATCTTGATATTGGATAAAAATCACACAACAGGTAAAAACTCTCTTTTCCGGATTTTTAAATCAAATCAAGATTCTGTTGTAATTCTAAATCTTTTTTTTTTTACAGTTCTGCTTCTAGGCCTACGGTGCTTGTCCAAGTCAGAATGCAGTTATTAAAAACACTCAGTTGATGCAAATGGTGGGTCAATACAACACACAAAATGGGTGTAGATGTGTTTCACACAACAGGGAGGAGAAGGGGAGAATGAGTTAACCAGAGGCCAAGCAACCTTGTCAGAGAGTACAAGTTCATACATCCCAATAGCCAGAACTGCTGCTCCTGGAGTTACTACCTCTAACCATTACTGCTAACATCAGTTCATGTGTTTAATACGCATTTTTATTATTTTTTGTCAAGGTTTTTACGTTTTCTTTACTTTCTTTCACATTTCTGCATACGGTATTTGTAATTGCAAGTCATACATATCCATATAGAATTATGAATGCTTAATGTCAGCATAAAAGACAAGCTGGGTGACTATATATGAAGACAACAACTACAACTTTCACAGCACTGTCATTGGTTAACTTTTAAAATACTCAAGCATTGTTATTCATAACGTAATAAAAAAGGAAAGAAAATAAGCTGAAATCGAGCTACGCTATTTTGTTCTTCGCTTCTATTGATTTTTCGTTTCTTTCAGCAGCATAACTTTTATTCCCCCAATGCCACTGGGCACTGAACTTTAACACTTCTAGAAAGCCTTAAAAGGGGGAAACTTCCACATATTTTTCTTGTTCAACTTCCCTTGACCGAAGAATACCATGCATTAATTCATCCATTTCTTTTTCTCTAAGTATTACTATTTTTAATTAAATTTAATGTGTTAGGATAGTGTTGTCTTCACATAGACTCATATAATGGTTTTTAGTCATTCATGTCCTCATACACATCCACCCTATTGCGTGTTGACAGGTTTATAAGGATGCAGTGGCTGTCGTGGGCGCGGAGAGGCTCCCTAGACGACAGCGCTTGAATCCTTGCAGTCCTGAGTGCTGGTGCCTGAGTTAGTCTGTTTCTCGTCTGCCTTCTCGCCCAGATGTTTCGCTTGTCTGAAAGATGAATACATCAAGAACCGTGCTGAGATCCAGGGCAGCCCATCTAAAAAGACATGTTTATACGCAAACGCCACCCTGGGGTCAAAGGCCGTTGCCATAGGTGACCTTTTAAAATGAAACAATATTTACATTCAGATAACACAGGGATGAGATCATATTGGAACCCTCTCCTCCTTTTTCATAGCTAAAAAAGTGTTTTCGGCAAAAGAATATTGTTTTTTTTAAACACTGTGTTCCCCTTAGTGATGTTTACAATGGAGATAAATCCACACCTTACATCATGCAGATTTTTTGCCTTTCTTTGTTCTAACAGACTCTTCATTAAAGTAAAGACAAAACCCCATGGAAGAAAACATTTCTGTAATCTTTCCCAGACACACCTACTATGAAAATATTCTTGAATGATTCCAGCTACTTCCTTTTGCCTGCCTGTGATTTCCATTCTCATATTTCATTCTTGTGCAAACCTCTCTTCAAGGAAGAGATAGTCAAAAGGTTGAACTGCTGGCTTAACTAGGAGGAATGAATCTCTCCTACAGTACACTTTGGTTGGAGCCGATAAGAATCATGCAAAACATTCAATCAGGCTACAATTAACATGGAGTGCCCTATGTAAATGACCAATGTGTAGGTTTCCACTGGAGGAAGCTGTACTCACGGAAATGTCTCCTGTGAGGTAAGACATCACATCACCGCAGGTTCCGTTACTGTAAATGCCATTGGGATACGTAGGCTCACTGCGCACACGTGTGTCACAGAGCTACAAAAGTGACATCACCCCCCCACCCCCAAGACAGAAATCTAGACCCTAGCCCCCTAGTTTAATCTCTGCTGCAGTAGAGATCAGCATGTTGGCATGGCAAGGCTACCCGGTCTGTAAGGAGAGGAGGTTTGGAGCCTGTGAGCAAGCAGGCTTGAATCCAGCAGAGGCAGGGCAGGGAGGGCTGCATTCACCGCTTGTGTCTCGATGCGTGTCTGGGTTTGCCATTTTACTCCCCAGCTCGGGCGAATCTGAGTCTTCTCTGTCGCGGTCTCATCCGATGTAGTTAAATGGGGTGGTGACACACCATCACCTTCAAAAGCATCCGCTCGTCTTAGAGGTTGTTTTTCATTCTCGGATGATTGTCCGAGCTGGCGAATTAAGCACTTCAAAGCGGGCTTGAACGTGAACAGGCATGAAAGATAATGTGTATAGTCTTGTTGCCTCCATGCAAATGTGCATCTTTGTAAAAGTAAAAAAAATAATAATATAAGCATTTTAAAATATATGTTAAAACGGATTGCTAGGATTGGAACTTCACAAATTATTTTGAAGTTCTGAAAAACTGGATTTACAGAATAGCAGTTTGATTTAAGAATTACAACAGATGTCGCAATCAAATTATCCATTTCCAACATTGTAAAAAACAGGATAAAAACATAAAAAGCTGAATCTTCCACATGCATTGTGACTACTATATTTACTTTTTCTATTTTATTTGCAGAATGACATAACTTTCAAACATTTATAAACATAAACTAAATTGTAGCACTGCCAGGGATGGATATATAAGTTCCTGAATTCATAGAGGAAATCTCCTATCAAATGAGATAAGCAAAGGAAGAAAATGTATTTCTATCCTTTGAAAAGCCTGTCAGAGAGAGGGAAAAATAATGTTCCAGGTGGAAACCCTAGTCCCTGTGTTCTACACCAAATGACATGACATTAAGGAAGACCAATCTCTCATTTTTTCCGATTTGCATCACCTGTTCCTGGCACTGCTTTTTGTTGTAAAAGAAAAATCATTCCTGCTCCTGTTACAGTCTAGCACTTCTCACTACTTCACTACTCACTACACTCCTGGGGTTTCTCCACTATGGCTCCTGAAATAAGGCATCCCAGTTCTGTCTTGCTGGGTGTGAAACATTTCATTTTCTCCAATAGCATTCAAAGTTTTAGTAGTTTTGTATTTTTTCATTCCCTTCACATTCAACTAATTTTTCAGTAATCTGGTCAAATTCTAATAACAACTGAGCCAACGGCCATAAAGGGATACACACTTAATATTTTGGCATTAACTTGCCTGGCTGAAGAAATGACAGCGCTGGACAAAGATCGGCACTGTGACAACCATCTCTCACTTACGAAGACTGAAACAGGGAGGATTCTGTAATGGTGAAGCTGGGGTGGAGGGAGGGAGGCTAGAAAAGGTGTGCACAGAGATGTGTGCAGCCAGGGTGTATTTCTACACAGGGGCGTGGAAGGGTGACATTAGAATTTGACATTCCTCCCAAAATCCTGTTAGACAACACCATTTCAGTAGTTTGATCAGATTCTACTGACAGCAAAACTAGTTCACAAATATAAAGAGATATTGTACTTTATGTACGCTATCAGAGATCAGTGCTATCACAACTCACCCAAAAGGATCCCAGTGACACAGATTTCGAACAATGAGCCAAGAGGGAGTCAGTTTGGGTGCAAAGTTATGCAAGAAAAATGGAAAATGCGTACACAGCGTAGAAATAATTTAAAGCTCATATGATGCAGACTTGAGCTTATTAAATTGGAAGGAACTGTAGGACAGAATGAAGTGAATGAGATGCATGTATGATGCTGATGGAATGCAAGTTGTGAAATAGCAGCATGAAGTAGTTGGTAGCTTAAGACTGGAACTATGTGGCGGGTCGGTTAGCGGTGACTAGGAAGTGTAGCATTAGGAATGAACAAGTAGAGAGCTACCACTTTGCTGAAGTTAGCTAAATCTGAATGGATGAGGAAGTGTTCCAAGCAGAACCACCGAAAGAAGAACAAATATCAGGTAAGATCATGGGTGGGGAAAGAGTCAAGGGCCAACACCATGCCATTTGGACACCAAGTAAGGGAGGGGAGTAAGGGGTGAGGGAAACATGTTGTCAGAGCAGCTAGGGCTGCACCAGGGACAGGGAGACAGTGGATTCAGTGGAGACAGACACCATGCGCTTGCACCCGTGGCATGAATGAGTGTCAACGACTTGGGGTTGTTAGGATTCGACCTCATCCCAAACTTCTGTTAAATTAACACCAAAAAGCTGCAGTCGTAGTGCACACCTACTTTTCCCGAGATCCCTTCTCCATTGTAATCCCTCCTTCCACAGGATCCAGTCCCTGTTCTGACAGCTGTTTCAAGGCACTTAGAGCGGCCTGGAGGACAAAGCAGAACGATGAGTCAGTGAAACACATCCTCTCATGGAACACTGTCTATCCAGAACTTAGTGCCAGTTGACATTGCTGCTAATGAAACAAGTGAATGTTTAAACCGCACTGAAAAAGTAAAAAGAAGAAGAAACACAACATTTCTTTGTTTAGAAGAGAGCCAGAAGACGCACCTGAGGAAGGCTCAACAGCAGACATGCAGTGTTTTTCTTTCTGACTTTCATCATGGAAATAACCTTTACTCGCACTTTTGCAGCCAACACACGGTGACAGCGTCCCCCCTCAGACCCCACTGCTGTTGATGTTAGATGTTTGGCTGGACTGCCTTTAAATACACTTACACATCATAACTGGACATTTCCATTTTGTGATATTTTTTAGGCCATCACTAGAAGACAGATTTGAAGTCATATCCTGAAACTTCAAGTCCAAGTCTGAGCTGTTATCATCTGAGTCTTCTTGAAACCATCTCAAATCAAAATTCTCATTCAACTTATTAACAATATTTACATCAATATGGGATAAAATGACAGTTGTTTATAGCTTATTGCAGCCATCTCTTTATTATTTATTCCTGCATTCTCAATGGGAAGTTATTTTTCTACGGTTATTTTATTACTTCTTGCTTTTTAAGAATGCCTATAGGGGAGGTAACGGGGGGAGAATTTTACCTTAAGGATATTTCTGTTGAACACGAAAATGTAGCTGAAGCTAACAGACATGCATAATGTAGATACGTAGAGCTGTTACAGTATGTACGAATGCTTTTCAAGAATGTTTAAAGTTCTAGTACCTATCTTAACAGGTTATTTAGTTCCCTTTAAAGTGGATTACTGTAAACATTACTCCAAATATTTAAGACTCTTTCTATGACTGGAAGGACTCCAGCATTTTTTTTTTGCAGTACCTTTGTCTGGTACCTAAACTTTCCTTTCCTTGCAGTTGGTTTCAGAAACTTCAACACTATGTTGTTTTGTGATCTAATCTTACTTTATTTTCCTTAATGCCACCTAGTTCCTATGTATTACTTTGTAGTTTGTGAAATTTAATTAAGTGGAAAGGGAATTTTTATGGGGGTAATTCCTCTAATTGCCCTATTTTTTATATTTACTGTATATGGTTTAATGTTTGCATATTTAAATGCTGTTTCATGTACTTCACGTTTTCTCTCTGCTATTTATGCACAGTATACTTTTGGTATGCAATTTGCTTTTCTTCATCCACAATAAATATTTTCATTTGGAGAAGTTGTGTTTCTTTTGTTACCAGCAATGTTTCTTCTGTTTCAATGTAATATGTTTGCCTATTTGACAGAAGGAAATTTCTTAGTGGCTCCTTTTCTTGTCACATTTGTCTGGTGAAATGCACCCACTCTATTAAAAAACAAACAATACCATGTGCTTAAATAAAGGCAATGCATAATCACACGACAGCCTTTCTTCTTTTCTGCTTGCTTCACCGCTCAATATCTTGTCAAATTTAACAAAACAACTCTTAGTCATGTCTAAATCATGAAGCCTGAATAACTAAGTCCAAGTCATACAAGGTTGAGTCTGTTCTCTGTGACAGTGGACTGAACCCAAATTTCAAACAATGTAACTTGAGTCGTACATGTCAGCCTATACACCTACTCTCAGAACCGTCTCATTTCAATGGACCCAAAATGAAGTCTTCATGCTTGCTACCTTCCACTGCGCTTTTAAAGAGAAGGGTTGTTTTAACCGTTTTGTTAAAGTACAGCTGCCCATACTGTACCGTAAATCCTTCCAAACCCCATTAGCAGTCGTTTAAAATTCTAGGACAGATGAATGATCCCTATATTTTTAATCTGGAAATTGGAACTGGGAGCTTTAAAAAAAAAGTCAAAAACACTCTTCATATTCATACCGTTTTAATGAAATCAGAAAGAAACCCGAGCTTCGAATCCTTAAAGAGATTTGCATTATTTTCAATAGTGTGGGCTAGATAATAACAGGTTTTCACATATGACATCCATGATGCAATGGTTTCCTAGAACAAGAGCTCTGAGAAAACAAGAACAAAACTGTCAGACCCGGAACCTTCCTTTTTCCACAGATGAGGAAAGCCTTTGCCAAAGGCAGTTAGGTGAGGAACAACACGTCACACAAACAGCATTTTCCACAGGAAACACTTCAAAAGCTTTTCAGTACCGAAGAGCCGCTCTTAAAAAATGCTGGATTTTAATCTTAACGTAATCAATTTTAATGCAAAAAACCCCCATCTGATTTTATTTTATGGAAGGCCTCTTTGTGGTGCGCACCATTTCAATGCCCTTTGCAGTTTTAACAGGAAGAAAACCAGACTTGGGAATAAAAATAAAGAGGCCAGCAAGTCCAGGCTGAAATCATCATACAAACTTCATTCAAGTTTGCCTTTAAACAAAGAAATTCATCCTTTACAGTTCTGTTAGAAACAATAGTTGACACATTTGATTCATCTTTATGCAGATATTTGCAACATGCATCCAATGCCATAAAAAAGAAATAGAAAATAACCGCCTGCCAAAAGAGTCTCATTAAAAAAATCAATTTAATTGGCACAAAGCACAAAAGCACCAACCAAAGACTTTTCAAGAAGGAAACGACATATGATTAATGTGCAAGAGCTAGCACACTCTGAGAAGAGGTCTTCACAAGAGTGCAAACAGCAATGAAGCCTAAGGGATTTTACAAACGGAGCGTGCTACAGCATATAACACTTCAGACATAGCAGACCCTTAAAACACAGCTCCCATGCAAAATAACCTCCGAAACAAGACCAGCATTAATAGTCACTGGGTTGGCAGAAGAGACAGAAGCCAAGCGTGCAGTTAACAACAGAGAGACAGCTCTGAGTATGAATATCAGTATAGTTTCCACACCTTTAGGAGAACACTAGCTGGCTGCTACAGAGACACGATACCTCTCGATAATTTAAGAAGAATTAAATCAACAAGGAACCCAAAAAGTAGACAACGGAAAACAGATCTCGACACCAACACCAATTTGTTCAGAGTCAGTGAACATTACTGCACCGTAGAGTGTATTCACTACAGCCAACTGTGAGAAACACACATGGATAAAAAGCTGGTCTGGAATATGTCTCAGCTTTTGGGGTCAGAAAACTTGTATGTTAACCAAGGAAAAGTGTAAGTGGTTACTAAAAAAAAACATGCACTTCCATCTGGAAATCATCTAATTGGAAAGAGATTCGTTTTTTTAACATGGCAGCAATCCCAAGTTTATTGGAAATATAATTATCTTGCTAACAAAGACCTAAGAAAAATATTCTCCCACTAAATAGACCAAACATTTACACAACACTGTGAGTACTGGAACCCTGTGCCTGAAACAATGCAACATGCAAAAGAATATTCCACATTTCATACTAAACCGATATAAAAAATAATGCAAAGAATGAATGAATGCTGAAGAAGAATGCTGAATGAATACTTCTTGTAAGCTGTTCCAAAAGTATGCACCATAACAAGCCCTGTGTTATAGAAGGAGCTTGATCGGTATTCATATGATTCTTGCAGGAAAGATAAGGCAAAGACCCTAAATGAATATTTCTCACAGGTTGTTCCAAAAGAATACATTATAACACGTTTTGGGTTATAGAAGGAGCTCAATCAATATTCAGCTGATACTTATAGTACAAGCTGATACTGTGGGTCTATAGGGTTTATGTGGATTTAAAAGTAATAAAACACTGACTGCATTTTTCCTGTTCTTAAGTCTTGCAGTATTAATGACATTTCATTGCAGTAATAATATTGCTCAGTACAAGAGGAACCGCAGGTGTTTGGAGCCTGTTCCTGGCCAGTTCTGCTAAGACAAAACCAGGAAACGACACACCAATCAGTCTTACTTCTGTTACCTATAAAATTTATGGAAAATATACAGTAGTGAGCACAAGGCGGAAATTTACAAAACAGTGGCATTTCAAGAGACAGCCAACACAGGTCTAGAGAGGGAAGTGTAAGGATGCGGAGGGCAGATGGAATGAGCTCTGTCTGCTGGACAGGCTGAGGTACTGTGCTTGATCCCAGTGCCGGACAGGCTAAGTGCTGCAAGGGTGGATGGAGAGTGCCGAACAGGGTGCGTGCTAAGAGATGGACTGGTCCGAAGCTGAAGGCCAGGCACAGCTAAGAAGGCAGTATGGGGCTGAGAAGCTGCGCTGGCAAGCAGGGTTGGAAGGCAGGGGTTTGGCTCAATGACACTGGTCCAGTGCTCAGCTGGGCTGTAGTGGTGTAGGATAACAGACAGTGGGTCAGCTGGGAGGGCGATCTGAGAACTGGGTGGATAGCTGGGGCGAGTTCAGGCAGGTTATCTGTCTCTGAAGCTGGCTTATTGTGCTGGAAGCACTTCCCTTGGTAGAAGGAAGCTCAATGGCAGAGCACTGGACCATAGGCAGATCAGGGTTTAAATATCCTGGACTTAATATGACAATCACCCATTAAGTAGGAGGGGTGTCTGCGACTAGCAGCCTCAAACAAGTCCTCACAGTCCCAGTTCGGCATTCGACTCCTTGTGCAAGTGCGACTGATTTTCCATGGAGACCAAAGGCTGTAAGCTCAGGCTTGCCCGGGTATAACATGAAGGTCTTGTTTAAGTAACGTACCAGAATTCTTTGATCAAACAACAAGGACCATTGATACCACTAAAACATAAATCTTAAATATACTGTGAGGCACTTAAGAACAAATTGGTGTTGAAAAAGCCCTGGATAAATCCCATCATGAAGAAAGATGGAGAACTGGTCAAAATACAGGCAAAAGCACATTATCTTAACCTCCAAGTGTGTCGTGTAAGCAAAGGTTTATCACAGAGTTCTGTATTAGGCCTACTGGTTTTCCCAATCTGGACATAAAAAACAGTTAACATAAAAACAGGAGTGCCAAACACAGAAACAGAGACAATGGAAATACAAAAAGATAAAATCATGGAGTGGTCAGACACATGGGAAATTAAATTTAACATTGTTAA